ATTAATATTCAAGAACTTATAAATTTTATCAAGTAAAATATGAAAAATAAGAAAATATTATTGCAGCTTCAAAATTAAAACATCTGCCTTTGATCTCATTTTATATGTTGCATTCCTCATGTTGTACATGAATTAAATCTGATTTTCTTTTTAACTCCTGTATGTCTTGAAAATTTAACAAAAGTTCCGAATATGCTTTTTTAACAATGTAAAGGAAGATCTAAAAATTAGTAAATTTCAGTTGGGGATTCTTGTGTTTGACTGAGTATCATAATGTAATTATTACTGAGGACAATTTTATAAGAATTATTATTGCAATAATCCTAATAATGAGACAAGAAAATGCTCTTGTACCAAGGTATTCCCATGAGCTTTTTCTTGATATAGCACATCTTTTTATTGAATGTTGGTATATGTCTCGGGACTTCTATTTTCTTCATCAGCCAAAAGATTTTAAGAATGCAAAAGTACAATAAAATTAAAAATTCTGTTACAAACAAGTCTGTTTCCAACTCTTTTAGAATAGAAATCCTGAAACATTTAATAAAAAAATATGTCATACAATAATTCTTGACTGCAATAAAAAGAAATTGATATATTTATTTAGGTACCTCCATGAGATCATTAAAAAAGATGCCAAACTTGACAAAAACAAAATTTTATCGTATAAATGTTATTATTAAGAGGAAAGATCAAAGTATTTTGGGGGTATTTTTTTTACATTTTTTAATCATTCCTAGCACGTCCAAAATTTTTGTTAAAAATCCTGTTTTTTTTTTGAGGCAGCAAAATTGACAGATAATCAATCATGCCAACCATTTTTTCCATTTTATAAAAAAAAAATGAAAATCTCAGTTTGAAATTCTTTTAAAAATCAATTATAATTTTTTCAAAACTTATTTTAAGAAAATCAGAAAGTATGTTTATTTAAAATATTTTGAAACAAGCATTACTTAGTTTCTGTGCCAAAAAGATGAAGTTTGAAAATAAAACAAAGCAGGTCATAACATTTCACGTCACTTGACAGGTGATAAATGACAATTTCAAGACGTATTGACAGATTACGTGAGGATAATTTATTCTACGGAAGAAGAGAAGTGAAATTAAGTGAAGTGAAATTATTTAGATTTAAGTGAACAAATTATTTACCTCGTTATTTTTAATGAAAACTTCCAGAGCTCTAATTTTTTTTTTTTTTATACTTAGCTTTCACCTTTTATGTTTACGATGCTTTATGGAAAATATATTATAAAGAAATTAAAATAAGACTGTTGAGAGTGAGATTAAATTTCATAAGAAAGGTATCTAATTAATTTATAGGTACCTTTCTTATGAAATTTTATCAGAAGTGTGCATAAAATACTATAATTTTATGTTCATTTATTACATTTTACTGTGTTAATGTATTTCCATTCATTTTATCATTAATTTTGATATTTTATTTATGGAAAAATGTCATAACTGTGATTAATATAAAAATAAGATCATAAATTTCATAAGATGATACTGATACTTGTAGGTACCCTTCTCAGTTGAAAGTGAAAAATCAAATTAATTCTCCACACGTGTTTCGCAAAAATAAAGGCCTTAACAGCGGAGAACAATGCAAATAACGCAACTTAATTGTATTCTTATTGGTCTTCCGTACTTTATAATTACAGCCCGATTATAAACACAAAATTACATTTCTTACTGCGGGGTCTTCCGAGTCAAACTGAAACAAAACGATACAATTTACAATTCGCTAAAAAAAAAAAAAGATCTATCTCAAAAGGACATTTACGAAACTGAATGCCGCTTTTAACTAATTTTATAATATTTTAACAATTTAAATGTAAAAAAATCTATTATAATTAAAGAAATAACAAATAATTAAAAATTCATTTTTCATCGAAAAAATTTTTTGCTTTCAGAAAATATTGTCCATATTCATAAAAACAACTAAAAGCAAATAAAAGTTTTTGAAATTAAATAATATCTTTGTTTTATGTTACAATTCAGAGCTGATTTTCAGGTGGGGGCGTCCAATTAAAAAAATATACATGATTTGCTTTCCTCAAAGCCTTGTGCTTTTAACTAATCACAAAGTGAATGCGACTGAATTTCTAGAGTTTTCATAAAATTAGTTATGGGGGAGGTAATAAAAAAAATTTTTGTCATGACTTTAAAAAAAAGAAAACATATTTATAATAATTTCCATCATTTGTGAATAGTTTCTGAAAGTTTCATTAACATCCGATAATTATTTTTATTTTTGCAAGATTATCCAAATTAATGTCTCATACAAAAAAAAAAAGTGCTAAAGCTAAAACTTTATTTTACTAGTTCTCATGGAGGTACCTATTTCTTAAATATGGCACAAGATTATGTGTAGGATATCAAATGAAAATCTATGGTAATCTAATCATCAGTCTGTCAATTAAATAACTTAACCACTGATCGATCAACACTCAACACAACAGCTAAGTAAGTACATAAATAAGAAATCAGTATAATTTTAAAAATGCATTTCATTTAATAATTTATTTTAGAAATTTTATAAATAATAATAATAATAATAATTGTTAATTTCTATTAACTTCAAGAAATAAAATATTTTTTATGAAAAATATTTTACATGGATCCTAAACTGAACATTTTATGGACCAACAAAGAAACGCAAACGGCAACCCTTCTAAAAATTTGAATTACTGTCATTTTTACTGACAGCAACAGAAATTTTCACATTTCAAGTAGCACCCTTCAATTATTAATTGTTCTCTATGGTAATTATTAATTAACAATGTGCTTTGAGAAAGAGTGACTAGAGTAATTCTTTGAGCATTTGATATTTTTCTGAAACAAAAAAGAAAATACAATGCGTAAAAAACTAAATAAAAAGGTAGGTACAAAAAAAAACAAACTGCCTGTTTCAGAGCCCAGTGACTCGGGTTAAGAAAAAAAATGAGAGTATACAATTTTTGTAGGTTTGTTCGTCGTAACCATGCAACTGCAAATCCCTTGGCCTTCTTAGTTTATCAAATATATTGATTCCACACTCACATATAATAACAATATTTGAGACTGCTGATCGTGTGTACGTTGGCAAAGTAAATAATTTTTTTAAAATAAAATCCTGTTGGGTGCGGGGCTTAAACTGCAAATTACCCATTTAATTACCTTCTTTAAAGTAATAAAGTGTTAAAACTGATACAATTATTAAATTCAAGTGTTTTTTTTCCAGATATTATAAAGAAATACTGATAAGACGGCTCTGTCAATAAAATCTGAATTTTCTTCTTAGGTTGAATGACAGTATAAAAAAATAATTCGATGTAAAGGGAACTTGAGTTTTTCTGACTTATGAGATAGCGATTATTATTCATTCAAGTTTCGGTAACGATCAGAAATCATTCCAAGGTTCAATATTTCATTCAGAACAACTAATCGACGGTATTTTTTTTAAAAACTATCGAGTTACAAGTCCAAAATCAAAATGAAAAAGTTAAAAAAAAAAAATACTAGTTAGTACTACCAAAAGGTGGTCCGAAAGTCTTGTCAAACCCTACCCCCACTTCCAAACTGTAGGAGTTGTGTCAACCATGAGAAATAGAAAATTAGATTGTGTGGGGGTTAACAAGACTTTCGTGGTCCGGAAAAGTCTGTGAGGATATTTTTTTCAGCTTAAAAGGTAAAGTTACTTAGTGGCATTTAAATTTTTAATAGAAATTGCAAACGAAAGTGCCTTTTCCTCAAAGTACAACTATATTGCCACCTACTAAGTAACTACTCTTAGAAATCAATTCACAATGTGACAATAATATTTTTTTAGCAACACAATTTTTTTTAGTCAAACGTTGCATGATTCACTAGTAAAAAGTGAAATTAAACAAAAAAATGTATATTTTTTCCTTAACCAACGACTTCAAAATTTTCTTTTAAATGCCTTGAAAACTTACTGCGATTATAAAGATCGTTTTTTATTGTTTTTGTTTATTTTTTTACACTCATTGAAGAATTACATTTTTTTTCTTATGCTTTTTAAAAAAAAAAATGTTACTTATTTTTTAATTTTTATTTGTGGTCGATATGTAAGCACCGGATCGAAATTATTTCGATTTAAATTTTAAACTACGAGAGCGTTTTCTTTAAAGAGGTGATTAAATGTGAAGCAATGTTACAAAAAAAAACAAAAACAAAAACAAAAAAAGATCCTTTTTTTTTCTCATTATCACGATCGGTTAGCAATAAAAGACGACTGAAGGTAGAAATTCTTGATTTAAAATCAAAGAGTTATTGTCAAGTTATTTTCTAGAGCCTTTTAATTTTATGTTTGTTTTTTGTTTGTTTTTTTAGTATCATAAAACGACGGCGTGTCGAAAATTTAGAGAATCAATTTTGCTAGCAAAAATAAAATTAAACCCCCACTAAGTCAGAGAAAAAGAAGTTTGATTTTTAAACCATCAACATCTGTTTTGTAATTATTTTCACTCACCTGTGAATGCAGCAGTATCCGATTTAGACAGATTCGGTTCATATTCTTGAGTATAAACATTTTTGTAGTAATAGACAAAAGAAAAGCCATAGATGTCTTATGTTCTCTTGTATTGTTGTTTTTGCTACTGGTTTCCTAGAATAAAAAATACTTTTTTTTTTAATTTTAATTGTTAAATTCCAACTGGCAATAAATTATACAATTTTTTAAAGAAAGACTTAAAAATGAAAAGGAACTGATGATGTCTTTTGGTTACTTTTGCAAAAGTGAAAATAATTTTTAAAAATGCAATAATTAAGTTGGCAGCCACTACGCGTTTATTTACCCAACCCCGGTTCCTGAAGTTCTTAAAATAATTTTGGACTTTGAACAAAAAAAAAAAAAAGGTACATTAAAAAAAGAGAAGCAGCAAAAATCGGACGCTGTAGGATTTAAAATGAAAAAAATATTTTTAACTTGTACCCGCAAAACTAAGTGATCAGTGCAGTTCTGTTAAAATTTAGTAATTAAAAAAAATCTTGCGTACTTTTTTCAGCAATTAGAATATTAGCCGAAAACAGGCGGAAAGTTATAGAAAAACTGACTGAAATTGATATGTAACAGAATAAATAAATTATAAATATTATCTAGTACTCTGGACTGAGCTGTTATATGCACGCAATCAAACTGATGACACTTATAATTATTTACTACTACTACTACTTACTACTACAAAAAAGAAGAAGACTAACATTGCAAATCGCTTACAGAACTGTGTGTGTGTTTTTCTCTGACTTTCTCTCTTTCAGTAGCTGATACTTTAATTGCTAACAACATTAACAATAACAAATCTCCACTTAGAAAGATAATTTCATGGTGAAAGCACACAAATAACTAATTTTTAGTAAGAAGAGAGAAAAGTGCCTCAGTGAAATTATTTTTTCTGGTTTTGTGGCCATTGCGTAAGAAAAGAAGAAAAATACTTTCAATTTTGTTTTTTATTTGCTCTGACCTTTGTGCAGGTGAAAAATTATTTTTCACCTCATAGATAAGCTTGACTTATTTGGGAAAGAATCCGCTCCAGAACTTAAATTGGAAGCCTGCATAGGGACAGAAAATTTATTCAGGGAAATGCACAAAATTGAAAGGGACGTAAAAAAGAAAAGAAAAGAAAAACAAGGACGTGTTGTAGTTTTATCAGTGAGCCGATCCTGAGAGAATTAGAAGTTCTATATGGATTCATTATTAGCGGCTACAATTCTTACAACGTAAGATATGCAGATGACGCAGTGTTGATAGTAGACACAAACTAAACTACAAGAATTATTACAGGGGGTTATAAGGGAAAGCGAGAAGAAAGGACTAAACATCAATTGTAGTAAAATGACAAAATGGCGGTCAGTGTCAGCAAAAGAAACAGACCAAGTTGCGAACTATGAATCGAAACAAACCACGAAAATTTAAATATCTAGGACATGTTTAACAGAGGTCCGAAAATGCAATACTGAAGTCTGAGGGTACATTGGAATAGGGAAAATGCATCCCAAACGGTAAGCAAAGTATTAAGAAACAGGAAAATTTCATTCGAAACAAAGATAACAGTACTGAACTGTTATGCAATATCGGTCCTCCTATATGGCAGTGAATACTGGACACAGATGAAGATTAAACTTGAGGTAACAGAGATTTTGTTCTACAGATGAATGCAGAGAATACCATAGACTGAATATGTGAGCAACGATGAAGTTTTAAGGACAATGGAAACACAAAGAACATTTATATTTCGACTCAGAAAGAGACAGAAATTTCCCAGGCACATAATGAGGAAAGAGGACAGCAAAAAGAAAAAAATCATTCTTAGAGTAAAAGAACAGGGATTTGTGGAGAACCATGGTTGTCCACGTCCTGAAATGACAAGATATATAGAAGAAGGAAGTAGACTTAAAAATATCATTTGAAAGTACTTTTCAATTCTCAGGTCTCGAAAGCAGCATCTTTTAAAATCTTACATAAAATTGTTATAATAAGCATTGGGTTGCGAGAGAAAGGAAGAAGGATGGAAATCAGGTGTCAGGGAATCGCCAGGAGCTGACCTATTTCCTATGCTGGTTTGACCAAAGTCACAGGATATGGTCGGTGCACGTTGTTGGTTGATTGAGGTCGCGTGATTGGTCGATTTTGTTGGTTGGTAACCCTGCTTTATGGAACAGGACAGTAGTGACATCTGCAAAGGGAATGCCTTGTAACGAGTCAAGTAAGTATGCTGAGGTGATGGCTGTGGGTTTGCCGAGGTGGTGTCGGATTGGCTAGGTTGGTAGGCCTGTTCTATGGAACGGAGCCATAGTGACGACTGCAAAGGGAATGCCTTCTATCGCGGTGGGTTGCCAAGTTTGATGTCGAATTGGCGTGGTTGGTATTCTCCGAGCTGACGAAGTCGAGATGTTATGTCGAAGCTGGATAGCCGAGGAGTTGTAATTGCGATAATCGACCTAAATAATTTTTTGAACGTTTTTAAGTTATTTTTAATAAAAATAAAATGTCCGAAGATGTTTTTTCAATGATTTCAAAATCAGTTGTGAACATGTTGAAATTTTAATAAAATTTTTGGTGTTTTATTCATTAATAAATTCATTTTATAATGAATAGCTTCTTTGATTTGTCGGAGTTACCTCCTCCTTTCTATCCTTGAACTGGCTGAGGAACAGGTCATTTCGACCTTGACCTCTCATTCATGCTCCTTACACACTGTTAACACGTCAGAGGGACTAGCAAATCCCCTTTTTAGTTAGGCTATATTACAAACCTAGGTGTAATATACATCTAGTCATTTTTAGACCATAGTTATCTTTAGCTAACCTTGTAGTATTTTTTTATAGAGACTTTTCGGTTAGCTTAGCCAATTTCTCTTGCTGGTCCCCCCTCGACACAAGACAGTGATTTCTCCCAAGCTTTGGGGAGGCTGTCGGCGGCCGCAACGGTCGTCTACGCAGGCCCCAATTTCATTGGCCAAGGGCGCCGATCTACGGGCTGTGTATTAAGTTACGCTCCCATTTCTTTTGTCTGCCAACTTGACGATAGTTGGGAACTTTCTTTCTCTCTCTTCCTTCCCAACACGTCAAGTTGGCATCCCGGCAATGACAAACAACGTTGGCAACACGAACTGCTGCAACAAGTTGGCACCCCGGCAATGACAAACAACGAGTTTTCGTTAGATTAATTTATATTTTTCTCTTATTGTCCATCGAATTTGAAAATAATGTCTAATTAATAATTTCATTAATTGAAATTTGTGGGGTTCAGCGTACCCGGATTAAAGGAGAATTTAATACGGGATACCCTGCCCACAAAATACAACGCAAATCTCAAGAAGAAACAACACGATAAGGAACGTTTATAAAAAAAAAATAGAACATTGTATATTTATTATCTTGTGAATAGGGTAAAAAGGATTAATGTTTTAGTTCGTTTAAGCAAAATTGTGATTTTGATGAAAATGTCTGTATTCGTTGTCTTTTAACAGAGTAGCAGAATAATGTCTGTTTCTTTTGTTTTTTATAGTTGTAAAATGAAAAAGGGGCGAGCAATTTAAGTTAAAAAAAAAAAGTGTGAATGTGGAATAAAGATGAAAGGAAAATGTACTTATGAATTGTTTTGAAGCCAGTTGTAAATTTGTTGTTGTTGTTGTTGTTCCTTCCTACTCCACTTTTCGGGTTGAGTCAGTAATGGAATTTACTCTCAATCTTCTGTGATCTTTTGCGCCCTTCTCTGACTGACTGGCGACTGACTTGAAAACTACGTATTTATTGTTGACTTTTTTTTCACACTGGCTCGTTATCTTTTTTTTTTTTTTTTGGTTTAGCAAATCGCCTCCTTCCATTGGTCAGAAAATTAATTTCACACCTTATTGTGAAATCTGTTTTTGGTCGTTCTGATCCGATTTTGCGGGTGTGCAAATCTACTTTGTGTTTTTTTAGTCATTTGTTGGAATATAGGATTTGTATCCTATAAACCCCCCTCCAGATTGATAAATATTGAAAATATTTTTCAATATCTAATATGTTTTAAAATGAGTAGGCCAGTGTACATGTCTACCCGATCTTGTGGTAATGTTTTTAGGTGTGTTTGGAGGTGTAGAAAATGTTTCACTTACGTTGGTATTTGTCGTGGCTGTAGAATGTTCCGACGTACTTTCTTTTGTAGGTAAATCCAAGTATGCTGGTTTTTGAAAATGCCCAGAAAGGGACTTAATATGTCTGTTTACTTTGCTTTTTTGGCACTTTAAACAAGTTTGAGTCCAGCGTTTTATGTCAGTATGCATGTTTGGCCAGACAAAACGACTGCTAATCAACTTGTCGGTTTCTCGGTGTCCGGGATGTGAGAGATTGTGAAAATGCAGAAATATCTTTTTCTCAATGAAGGTGGAATATATGGTCTTGAATAACCAGTCCCAACGTCACAGAGTAGTGTTTTTTTGTCCAAATGGGACGGGGTGTTCCTTCAATTGTAAAGAAGTGTCCTCTTTTATTTTGTATAATGTGCTATCTTCCTTTTGTTCATCTGCAATGAGGTCGAAGGTAAGGGTTTCAGAATCGATGGATTGTATCGTGGAGCGCGAGAGTGTATCTGCCACGATATTGTCTGAACCTTTAATATAGCGGATATCCGATGTAAATTGGGATATGTAGTCCAGTTGTCGGGTATCTCTGGGTGTGTATTTATCTGTGTTCACATGTAAAGCGTAAGTGAGGGGTTTGTGGTCTGTGAAAACAGTAAAGTTTCGTCCCTCGAGCAGATGTCGAAAATGCCTTATTGCTGAGTAAATAGCTAGTAACTCTCTCGAGAAGGTACTGTACTTCTGCTGTGCTTTGTTTAATTTGACCGAGAAAAGGAGATTGGCTTTTCTGAACCATTTAGCTTCTGATGTAGAACTGCTCCAATTGAATCTCCTGAGGCGTCAGTTGTCAATGTAAGTGTTGAGTTAGCATCGTCACTGATGTAAGAGAGCTTGGTACAATCTGCTAACGCTTTTTTAGCATTTTGAAATGCAGCTAACGCTTCTCCCGTCAATCAGTATTTTTGCATTTTCTTTCTTCTGTTTTTGTAGCAAGTTTGTGAGTGGGGTCAAATTCTGGAACAACCTGGAATAAATCTACGGTAGTAATTTATTAAACCGAGAAATCGTCTTAATTGACGCAGTGATGTTGTTTGCTGAAAGTTTTGTATTGCTGCTACTTTCTCTGGGACAGGTGTGATTCCGTTTTTGTCGATCACATGGCCCAAGAAATTTAACTTTGAAACAGCAAAATCGCATTTGTGGACATTTATCTTTAAGCCAAAATGTGCCAGTCTCTCGAAGACTTGTTGAATATGGTATAGGTGTTCTTTTCCATCACGACTGGCGATAAGCACGTCATCGATATATGCAAAGGTAAAAGGCAATCCTCTCAAAACTTCATCAATGAGTCTTTGAAAGGTTTGGTCGGCATTACGGAACCCAAATGGCATTCTGGTGAATTCATAGAGTCCAAAAGGAGTGGCGATTGAAGTTTCCTTTATGTC